TTTAATGAAAAATTATACTAATCAAATACAATTAATTACAATTACCAATAAAACAAATTTTATGAAATTCAATTTCCAGTAAAACATTTTCTTTCCACCTTTGCAATCAAACGGACCCTTAGTGTTTATTCTTAAAAGTTAAGAAAAACATGCATCTAGCTTCTGGAGGAAACGCTAAAAGTTCGCACGATTTGCTTGCAACTACACTTTGATAGTAGAGGCCAAGAAGTGTGCTAGTCGTTACATGTCTTGATGAAAACTTCAGTTTCAGCCTTATTCCTTTACTTTATCACAACAAAGTTGACCTTTTTTTTCCATTTCAACTTCTTCTGTTACCATAAGGATTGATTTGTTATCTTGGATATCACACAGTAATAGATGGGGCACAATTATTATGATGGTTGAATAAGAACAAACCCCTCGTGAAATTTAAGCAAGTCAAATTGGTCAAGGTTAAAACTGTTAAAATACTAATAAAACATTAGATCTACTTAATTCCCAGATCATGCAGGTATAAGCATTTTATCTCAGGATTAGAAAGGGCAAACAATAATTTTCTGTTGATCTAATTCCAAAATGAGAATACCATTCGATTCAAATTCAACCTTTAAATGTATTTGAACATAACCACATACCTGGGATTCGGATTTCCTCGGACTACTTTCTGCCCATACTTGCGCCAACGATATCCATCATCTAGTACATCAACTTCACTCGTAGTTTGAACAACAACACGTGCATCACGAATGGGTTTAACCACTGGTGTAACATCAAGATCCTCCTCTATCTTCCTGCTTAGATTTCCAAACAATAAGCTATCATGGAAAAACAGTATCAAATCTAATGCAATTGTGTTACTGCATTACCTTCGCTTAATAAATGGATCATCTTCATCAATGGCCTGAAATTCTCCTGTCCCATATAGACCATCATCATTTGCTTGCTGAAGAGACAGCACTGGAGACATATTTGGCTCCACGCTACTGCTCAGAGTATTGGTGTTCAACTTGTCTTCCACAAGATGATAAAATAAAAACGAGAACACATTTTAGTGTGCAACATAAAAGAGCACAATTGGACTACTAAAGTTTTGCATTATATTGCATAGTAGATGCTAAAGGAGTCATCAAAATGTTAGTCCAATTACCCTGTTGATTAGTGAATGATAAATCCTTGTCCAATTTCTCCTCTTGAATGGACATGAGAGCACCAGAATTATATCGACGGGCAGGTTGAGGTTTTGGGTGATCATGTGAACCCTTGTACACGATTTCTGTTATATGTCCACTTGGAGAACGTTCGAAAAACTTTCTTACCTCACAGTTGGGATATGTACACTTGTAATAGCTTCGAGGAAATTCACATCCTTTAACAAGTTTCTGCCCATATTTTCTCCAGTTATAACCATCGTCTGATGTTCTTTCGCCTGTTACTAAGGAAACATTATCTTTATTATCAGAAGACAACACTTGAATGCGAGTATTGGACTGACCTCCCTGATTTAACTCGTCAATAGCATCACAAACTGATGAAGTATGCACACTTGTGGGAGCAGATACTCTCAAATCTTTTGATCTTGGAAGCTCACATGTAACAAAAGATGAAGATGACGAAGACTGCGAAAACAGCTGGTCTTGAATTTGACTGCGGGGACCAAGCTGCTGTCTGTTCAATCCTGCAGGAATCTTTGACAAAATCAAATGATTCGGGTTCCAGAACCAAAATCAGCTAAATATACATAAATCACAGGTTCAAATTTTGCGAGTATTTTGACTATCACATGGGAATTAGAATTTAGAGAAAATAAACATAGCGCATAAACGACTTTGAGTTGAATTTCCTGAATTTTGTCAAAAAGGTAAATTGAACAGTTACTTGATTTCAAATCTACAGGCTTAAGTCTCAGCTCCAACCATATAATTACAATAGCATGCAAGAGATTAACAAAGTGTGCTGAATTTAACATTGTTTCACAAGCTATTATCATTGTTTTGACAACCTCTGGGAGAACGTAAAACAGATGCAAGCTCCGAGTTAAATATATGTAACATCCATTGTCTTGTTCAAAGACATATCCAGAATTAATGAATGGATATATATATGAAAAATCTTTAATCACCAGAGAAAATCTTTATCACCATGACCGCTAGTCCGCTACCGATCATATAGTATTAAGGAAACAAAACGTTGAACATTGTTTTTTTTTTTAAAAAAACTTTCATTGTTTTCATAAAACTTGGGATTATATTTCAAATCTTACCAGGAAGAAACATTAAAAGAGAATTATTTTGATTCTCCTTTTACGGAATATTCTATATGTCCCATGGAAAATGAAATGATTATTAGATGTCAATCAATCATTCATTCGCTCCTTCACCCACACCCACACATGGATATGTATACCTTGTATATACGTGGGTATATATTAACATATGTGTATATATAGAGAGAGACATTCTATCAAGAACATAACGAGTCTTAGACCATTACCGCCAATCCCATGGACGATAATCCCAGTGTGGAACTAGATCCAGAGTGAAAATTAAACTCGAAGCTGCTGGATGTTCCTTGGTCAATAGCGTTGCCACCAGCACAATGTTTGTCCAATGACAATGCTGCGCTTTCACCAGAGCCTTGCATCAATTGAGACTTGAAAAAGGAACCTGTGGTTGGAGAAGGCTCTGCCTGTGAAAATCAACAAGTGCAGAAGAATTTGTGATTTGGGAATTTTTTTCATTCAACAACCACTAACTAGCATATAAACATTCAAAACTCTCCACTCCAAAAGGGGTTCCTATTTCTTCTGTCATTTTTCGTAACAGAAATAAATACTTCCCCTTTTCATTTACAGGGCTAGGGTTATATAGAGATGCTACAATCAAATTTATACCATTAAAACCTTGTATGACATACTCAATTGTGACAAGTGTCAGATAATCACAAGGACATAAATAGCATCGATGCTGCTCATTCTTTAAGTGCAACTTCTTTTTCTCCAGGGAACCACAAAAAGGAAAATGCCAAACACCAACATGAAAAGGAATATTCATTATGTGAAGAAACAACGGTGAAACTTAATACTCTTTAAAAGTATTAACTACGAAAGGTGCAGAGGTGCTCAAGATGATTCCATGATGAAATCGATATAAATATGTAATACATCCTCACGTCATGAGAGCATCAGAATTTAAGAGTTCCAAGTCCACCCACAAGACGCCATATATTATTCATATAACATTTAAATATTCTCCTAATGAGCACTCAGAAGAAAAAATAACGCACTAAACTGCAATATACCGAAAGAGAACCAAACATCAAATCGATAATGGAGGTCCCCCACACAACAATAAATTCCCCACTATAGGCACTCTAACCTCATGCACAAAATCATGATTGGTCATTCAATAGCATAAAAATTGAACATCTGCAATTTTCACAAAATTGAGATTCGCACAACTAGGCTGGTTAAAACCATTAGCATTGATTACTTAATTAGCCTAGTGTTGGCATTTTTTTCTCCATCTCTTTTAGCTTTATTCAGCAACGAAACAGTGCATCTCCACATAAACTAGGTACCAGATCCGAATCTGAATCATTTAAGCTACTAAAATTATTGCCATTAGTGTAAATTTTCCATAAAGCACGGAATGAGTAAAACAAAAGAAGCAATTTCTTGTGAGAAAAAAAGTCACCTTAATGTTGGAAAGAAGGACAGGGGATTCAAGGAACGACGTCGGACTAAGGCCTGGAGGAATAGTAATACTAGTGGACCTGGAGATCGGGAGCTTCGCCGGAGACATAAGCCTGTACTTCGCTCCGTTACTCGATCCGCCGGTGGCGGAGCTTCCTCCATCTGTCACGCGACAGCTGAAATTATCGGAAGGAGAGTGAGGGAGCGACTGAGAATCTTCCATAGACGAGAAATTAAGAAAAAGAGAGTCAAAATGAGCGATTATCTTTCAGCTTTTGAGATGGGGAAAGCGGGCAGGGGTGATTCGGGAATTAAGAAAGACGGGGGTAGGATGGTAATTTCATGTGAGGTTGCGACCGTAGATATCGCTTGTCGGAGAGGGCACGGTTCTAGTACTACTACGCAGTTGACTTTAGAGGTTCAGACCCGTGTTTCCATTGGTATGTACTTCTCCAATTGTTTTGTTACAAGTGGACGGTGGAAAACCAAGTGTGCTAGGAACATGGAATCATGTTACATTGACAACTTCACACTTCACATCATCACATTCATTCATTTTAAAAAATATTTAAAATTATTTTTTAAATCAACGACCCGAATTTTGACACACCCAAATTGTCAACAACGATTGTACTGATAGCTTAATTCAAGAACCTCTAGTCTTAGGCCCTGTTTGGGAGGGATCAAATTTTTCTACAATAAATCAATTCTCATTTTCAACCACACATTCTTCAATAAAATAATATTTTCCATCACATCAACAATTTTTTCTTTTTTTCAACCACACGTTTCCCATCATATTACTATTCAAAATCAATTCTTTTCCCAACTCTCCCAAACAAACTCTTAATATTTTCTCTTTTCCATCGTTTTTTTTCTTTTTTTTTTTTTTTGTAGGTTTTATTCTTCTCGAGTAACTATTCTCTTGAATTTTGCATGATCGCTTCTTAAATAATCCAATAACGTTTGTTCTTTAAAGAAACGGGAAAAAATCTTTGCCACGACACGATATCCTTTCAATTCTATATAATACTAACGATGCTACAATGCTATCAACACCAATAATGCTACAAATTGTCGTAACAACGGAATGTATGCAATAGATGATCCATTTAATTAATCTCATCATTTATTGTTGTGACCACTAGGAAGAGGAAAAATTGCCCTAACAGGTAAAGCTAAACTAGAATTGATTGGTTTGGTCTAGATCGAACCTATTCTTGCACAAAAAATATTTCATTTTGGTTCGTTTGATTAAAAATCGGTACAAATCAATCCAATTCTAGAATAGGAACCAACAAGTTCGGTTCTGATTGATAAATCCCGAAATGTTACGAGTCAATCCAATTCTTACAAGAATCGGACTGAACTACACCTTACCAACTTTTAGCACCATTTGTACTAAATAGCATTACTCTTATAACTTGGTTAAACGTATTAACGTAAAAATAGGGAAGTATACATTTTCTTTTTGTTGAAATGCTTTTGAATGACAATAAATGCCTATTTTCCTTGTGAACCACTTCTTAATTGTACCAAAATTCCTCAACTTTTACTTATTATTGCATTTATGTCCCACTTAAAGACCATCAAGGCAATTAAACTTGCAACAACAAAAAACTATAACCCCCGCCCACAAAAAATTAATAATAATAAAATAAAATAAAATAAAATATGAACTTAAATAATTTTTTACACGATTTCACCAGAATAGCAAGAAATTCAGCCCCAAAATTTAAATTTAAAAAATAAAATGACCAATTTATATATCTTTCAATATTTGCTAATTAGAGAAATGTGACAAATAAAGCATTGAAATCGCAGTAATTATTATCATAATGCAACACAGTATTCATATTTGTCCAAAGTCCAAACAGCTTAACTCAATCTGCTCTAATCTTGCCCTGAAATCTTGTGTTTATAGCTGCACTTAGCGAGACCCTTTACCTTCCCAAACTTACATAGGAAGGCCATTGCTCCGGAAAACTAAAGACGAGATCCTCGAGCTTCCCTCCAAAACTTAGGAAGACCATTGCTTTGGATAACTAAAGACGAAAGAGGTGCTTTGGTTCCAAAATCGAACTTATCCAAAGCAATTGTATGTATAAGTTCAAAACAAAAGTGCATTGAACTCACATAGGAGGATTTGCTTGAGATCGTCTAGCACCAAAAGAGCAACAACTCCAATGTCGAAAAAATGAAACCTAAGCTGCATCAAGTAAAATGAAGCATGTACGCCACAATGCAGAAAATGGAGAAAAGATCAGCACTATTTCCCTCACAACTAACCTCAATCAACTTCAAGTATAAACAGATGATGCTTAGATCACATGTTCATTTTGTGAGACATCGACCAATAAAACAACGCAGATGACATTGTGATTCTAACAGATGAAATGAGCATGAAAATGCCTGATCAACGGAGCTATTGGGGCATAGGACACTTAAGGGTCTGCCTGGCATGCCTTTGAAAAAGTCAAAAGGAGCTTTTGACACCGAGAAGCAGCCTTTGGACCCACTTGACTAATTTTATGAAAGTGCTTCTTCTAATTAGAAAAGCTTTTAGAGAAAACTAGTCTAATGTAACTTCCTCTAAAAGCACTTCTAGAATATGAAACTTTCATAAAAATTAGTATCCAAACAAAAATTAAGGTAACCTTCTTTAAAAACTCTTCTAGACGAAGTAAAAACCATGGCAAACGGGCCCCAATGGCCCTTTCAGACAGGTGTGCAGGTACATCATAGTTCATACGAGTGTTTCCATCAGAAACTGGTCTTGCACGATATCCACCAATCCACAAAGCATACTACCAAGCCTTCTCTAAAAAGGTACTAACCTAGGTCAATGCAACCTTAAACTAATTGATTTGTTAACAACCCTACATTGTAGATGGTCGTAAAACATCTAACACACTGTTTAACTTGAAAGGTACTTCGTATAATACAAATGATTAGCAAAAAATAAAGTTTTGCTAACAACGGAAAACAACAATTAAGATCGAAGATAATCTGCAATTAGCAGGCAATTCAAAGGTTGCAGAGGAAACATATAAGTTGGGGGAGGGGGCAGAAATGGTAAATGGTGAAGTGTTTTCATAAAAATTAAAAGAAAAGAACTTAGAATAGATCTACATGTTGCAGAGTAACGGGAAACATGCGTTTTCAAGCAGGTGCTGAAACGGCAGTATATGAAGTGTGACTGCAACGAGATATGTTTAGAAAGTTTCGAAACATATAGCTGTTCTGAAAAACAGATAGGACTACTATCCAGTAAAAAGTTTCGAAAAGAAAAACTTCCCAATTTGAAAAAGTTCCTAGCTGTTCTGAAAAAGCTCTAGAGTGAATGATTATCATGAGACACGTCATGATTAATCCCAATTGATCTAAACCACGAGGCTGGTTAAAACACGTCATGGGAGTCCCACATATTAATAAATATAGGAAAGACACAGATATAGCAAACTGTGCCAAAATTGCAGTAATCAAAAAGCATGTCATGCCTTCTGATAATGGCTTTCTACAATCAGACATGCGAGGAAACCATCCAAAATTTGCAGAACCACATACTACTGTGGATAGTAACCTGGATGGTATTGAGGTGGTATGCCATATCCACCATAACCAATTGCAGCGTCATAGTAACTAGGTTGCCCTTGTCGTTCTGACGGATAAGCATTGGCTGCAGTTTGATTAACGTTCCCAGAAAATCCCATGGGGGCTCCCGGAAACCCATGCAAGCCAGCAGATGAGCCAGCATACATGTCAGCAGCCACGTGGGGTCCTCCCCTGCCGTAGGCCCCAGCAGGAGAACTGTGGTAAAGAGCAGTATGATCCAGAAACAAACCTGACGTCTGCACGTGAGATGGTTGTGATGGAAGAAGAACACGTTTAGAATGATTTTTCTTTTTGACCGCCGATGGACCGGTAACTTCCTTCACTCGCTTGTTTCCCCTCTGCTTTTGTTGCTTTGCCTGCTGTGGAGGTTTGGGCACAGGGGCTGTTGCAGGGCGTTTCTTGTCAGCCTTCTCCTTCTCCAGCTTCTCAATACGAGTTACAAGGATATGTTTTGGATACTGCGACTCTAGACCATGATCATCAATGCATTTAATCACCGACTTCAATGCACTGATTTCTTTCATCACAGCCTCATTCTAAAAAAGCAATTGAAAATGTCAGTCTACAGCATCTGGGGTGAAACAAAGTATAATAAAAAAACAGATATGAAAGATTACCAAAGACTGACGAGAGCTCTTGCCACTCTTGCGAATTTTTTGAACATTTTCCTTTGAATCTATCACATAGGCTTTTAATAATGGCACTGGGGGAAACTCATCAGTCAGCTCAAATTCAAAAATGAATTTGAGAGCCAGAAGTTGTTTGCCCTTGCTGATGAGTTTCTGAATAACATCTGTGAGAGGCCATATATATAGCTATTGGCATCAAACTATTAAATAGTAGCACAAAAGTGCTTTACAGCATAAGCAATTAAGTGGTGCCATTGAGTAGGACCTGAACTTGCTCAGCCACAAGTGCATAGCACATGGAGAATTTGCTCGTGCATGAGCAAAAGAAAACAACTTCAAGATAACACTTCTTACCAATCATCTAAAGCCTAAACAATTTCCACGACTATCTCAAGATAAAAGGACAAGACCACAACGTATTCCTTTCTATAAAAGGTTTACTTTCCATTGGGAAAAAAAAATCAAAATCTCTTAAACATAACCCCCCGTCATTGCACTGCAATGATTCTACATTCCTTAATGCGATACTAAGCCATGCAAAGTTCAAATCTTACAGCTGGAATTGTGAAGTGAGAGACCTAAGAAATGAATAGCATCTGGTTCCAATACCAGAGTTGATTATTTCTAATTCTGTTTCTGGGGTTTCATTTTTAAGCTGCCAAACATAGAAATCATTAGATATTTCAAAAGGAACTAAAGTGAGGAAGAAGAAATTAGAAAAATATAAATGTTGCACTCGCCTCAATTAGCATAAGTTTCTATCAACCACAAACTTTGAGAAGTGAATCCAAATTTTAATCCACGCTAGTTTTCAATTATCAACCAACTTATAGTCGTTGGGATTAGTAAATCCCAACTCCAAACTAGATGAAATCCTCTTTTTGTTCTTGCATACAAATAAGAACTATAACATTTTATGCATGTTAAGAAGAGGACCATAAAGAAGCCAAAGCACAAAGACAAGGCCTTCTTCCACTTTTAAGTCAATTTGTTATGAAGTATGATCCAATTAACACCAATATTTCAGCTCTCAATAGCATTGGTCTAAATGCTTTTAGATTCTCCCAGAATTCAAGACAACAAGAAAGAAGCAAGACAACAGTACATTGACATGGTAAAAAAGAATACAGAAATAACAATGAGATCATTATAACAAAAGAACCAAGAACCTGGCACCAAATAAGCAGAAAAGTATCAAATTTACCAGAAATCCTATTGCCAAGGCCAAGAGCTTGACACAAGTCAACAGCTTGTCGATATCTTGCAATCACAACAGCATAATCGATTAGCTCATTTACATCATATCCACCAGCACTTACCAAGCCATAAGTAGCCAAGAGCTGCAAATAGCCCAGCTTCATCAAACCTTTTTCCTCCTCCTCCTCCCGCTCTTCCCCGTCACCGCCATTAGCCTCTATTTTCACCTTCCAGTCAGCTGCCATTGCCCTCGCCCGCTCCCTAACCTCCCCCCCAATCTCCACGTTTGCCTTCATCAATTCCTCCAACAATACCACACACACCCTCCTCGACCCATATAGGTCAGACGTGGAAACCAATCCTTCATCACAAAACCCCTCCAAGGCATCCAAAATCATCGAACCCGGGTCCGCGGCGCTCTTCCACGCGTCTGGCAGCTCAACCCGGATAGCGGTCCGTTCCCTGGGCCGCTCAATTATATACTTCCTCAACCCCATCCCGTCCATCTTCTCACAAAGTGACCTCAATTCCGATCTGGCCGGAATCGGGTCCGCCGAGACCGAATCTTTCAGTTTCTTGCGTTTAAGTTTCTGGGACTGCGACTGCGACAATTCGAGCGTCTGGATAGTCGAAAACTTTTCGAGCAAGTCTGACTGAATGGAAGTAAAATACGAGTCGAGGTCTGACCATGTGAAATTAAAGAAGGACAAAACCGAAGAATGCGATTGTAAATCTTCGAATGCTTTCTTCAGATTCTCTTTCTTTGAGTCGATGAGGCCTAGTGCCGTTTCGATCGATTTCACCGTTGTCATTGCCATCTTCCGGTGAAAAAAAAGCAGGAAAAAATACGGAGAATTGCAGTGTTTATATGCCCCGATTGATAATTACAATACCTTACATGAGACCCTGACCGAATTGACACAAAAAATCCCGAACTTTGCCTTTATTGCGAAATCCTCTCTATCCTTTTTATTTTGACGGAAATACTACCCGCATTTCAATTTCTTTAGGGTGTGTTTGATGGATATTATTGAGAAAAAAATATATTTTAAATAGTGATATGATGAGAAACATATGGTTAAAAGTAAAGAAAAGTTATTGATTTGATGGAAAATATTATTTTATTGAAAAATGTGTGGTTGAAATTAAGTTTGGAAAGAATGTATTTTGAAAGAATGTGTACAAAACAGATATTTAAGTTTAGACATTAAAAACCACGCAAACCCCCCCCCCCCCNCCTTAGTTTAAACATTAAAAACCACGCAAACCCCCGCCCTTCCCCCAATCAAATCATCCAAACTTTATGGAATACAATATTTTGCGTCCTTTTTTCTATATAAAGTCTTGTAAAATGACGAATTTGCCTAATTCTTTAAATAAACAAAAAGGAAAAAAAATTAAGACTTTATTTAAAGAGGATGGTAAATTCGTCATTTTACAAGAATTTATGTAGAAAAAGGACGAAAAGCTTGTTTTCCACAAAGTTTGGATGATTTAGGGATGTTTTGCACCAAAATAAAAGGTTATGGGGGTATTACGAGAAAGTGTCAACGTTATGGGGTATTGCAACAATTATCCTTATGTTATTGGTCACATTACTGCTTTTAACACCTAAACTAATGAAATTTGATCATAAGGGGGTCGGTCTTTCGCATGGAAAAGGTCATCTAAGGCAGAATTCTGCTAAAATGAAAGAATAGGAAAGTATTACACAATAGAGACATACGTTAGGCGGTTTTGCGTCAATTAATTTGTTAGCTGTTGCTATGTGGCTAATAGTTGAGATTCGTTGGATGAGGTGTAACAACTCATATTGGAAACCTACAAATTTCGCTCAATCCCTTCAAAATCAACTTGATAATCTTGATCGTCTTTGAAAATTTAATCCCCATGGCACCTTCCCACAGTGAAGTCCAAGATTTCTTATACCGAAAACAAAGTGGTGGCTATGCATTGTGCTAGGGTAGGTCGTAATGCTAGCGTTGGTGATTTTGGGTGTCAGTTCTTGAGATCAGGTGGAGAATTTAAACTTGGCGGTGGTGGAGATTGTGGGTGGTGGCGATTGAAATCATGGATAGATAATCTAGATTGACTTCTTTATGGAGTCCTTTTACAATTTTTGTTGTGCTACATATACATTATAACTTATAGGTTTGTTTATCAGCAGATGATGTGACGAGATTTGATTGAGTCAAAATCTCATCAAGCATTTAAAAAATTCCTACTTTCTTTTTAACAGTTCATCAATCTGTAAAAATTATGTAAATGATGATATACAAAAAAACATTTCCCTTACAATTTGCATCATGGTCCGAGAAAACTTTGGCAGAATTAGTCTTTAATAGCCCAACGAATTATGCAACGGTTGTGCCACCACCTTCTTTATGTCGGTACTATTCATATCAAGGATTATTCTAATTTTATATTCAATTGTACCATGGGCGACATAATGCACAAGGAACACTCTATCATTAGCTAGTGAAAATTATTTTTTTCTATCAGCTAATGACAAAATTTAACTTGTGCATTATATCACCCAATATGTACACCTAAGTATACATGTAGCAAAGCTCTCGTATCAAATGATAGAAGGCCATAAAATTGGTGTATTTAAATGAATGTAAAACGTTTCATTAATTTTATTGAGAGAAAATTAAGCAAAACTATGATTTTAAGATTTTATTATGATTATAATCAGATATTGAGAGTCTTCTTCAAAGATTAGAAGTTAATTTACATAGAATATATATATTTATTTTTATAATTATACTATTAAATACTATAGATTTAGTAAATAATCTGAATTTGAAGGTAAATTACCACCTTTAACGAATTTCAAAATCACAAAATATGGGATTCAATGTATTCATTTTTATGTTCTAAACGAAGTATTCAATCTTGAAATCATGTCACAATACTCGCAAAAAGTTGTAACTTCCAAAAATACACATTTTAGGTTACATTCAAACAAACATAAAGTCACATATTTATGAATGGTTGACACATACACACAACCTTACAAGTTACTGTTACACAACGTAGTATGCACAGTCACATAACATATTACAAAAAATTTAGATAGCAAGCCTCATAGATCAAAGTCACACAATGTAATGGCAACATTCACACGAAATGATATTTTTGCAAAGAAGCACGTTTTAGGTTACATTCTTCAGTTGTAACCTATAAATTGTCACATAACATATTACATAAACTGTTTACAAAAGATTGTTTAATTTTGTGCTTCATCAATATATGTAAAAACGAGGTAGATAATGTGCCCAATTATTCTGGAGAAATTGGGAAAAAAAAAAAACAATTATTCTGGAAAAATCAAGATGGGAATTTGTGGCCAATTTCTTTATCTATTCTTGATAATTATGTCATGGAGGTCCTATAATCTATTTTCTGTTTTAGGTATTGTGAGAACGTTGGGAGGAAGAAAATTGATTGGTTATAAGATGAGAGATAATAGTCATCAATTATCATTTATTAGCATTCAACTTAAGGAGGGTGTATTCAATTGAGACTTTTAGAGACTTTTGGAGACTTAAAAAGTTTAGGTGTATTCAATTGAGACTTTTGGAGACTCTCTAAAAGTTTGGGTGTATTCAATAGAGACTTTTAGAGACTTTTAAAAAGTTTCTAAAAATCTCGGGGTATTCAATTGAGAATGACTTTTGGAGACTTTATAACTTATTAAAACTTCTGGAGACTTTTGTTAGAAAATACAAAGGAAAATTCTCAAAACAAATCTCTCCTCCCACGAGAGATTTCCCACCCCACCCCACCAAAAAAAAAAATTCGTTCAAGGGAAAAATCACGGTCTTCTTCCTCTGTGTACAAAAGCACGAGTTTTTAATAGTCTTTATATACAATATACTGATATAGTAAGAATACATGGACTGGATGCAATCCATATCTGCGATTACCAACCCCTTCAACTGTAATCACATGCATTCCTTCAACAGAATA